TACCATCAGGTGGACTATTAAATTAAATTAAAATAAAAAAAATAGGACAAGCGATCACTTGGGATTACTCCTGGCGGTCAGCTTCACCCAACGTTAAGGAGTTGGGTGACGGATGGATACAGGTTTTTTTAGTGCATAAGCTGGTTGTTCATTTATATTTTACATACGTATAAGGTATCAATCAGAGGATTATGCTCGGAGTTTTTCTGCGAGATAGAATTTGTAATAATTCCCTCATTTTGAATTATATCTCGCAGAAGAACCAGAGTAACCGACATAACCCTAAACACTAAATGGATTAGTAAGCTGAAGTGACAATGGCCTGACCAAATAACTGAATGAGGTAACAATCGATGGGAAAGAAGATTCTATGGAATCTCTCCGGATTTAGCCAGGTACTAGTTACCATGTGTAGGAGGCGAATTGGCAGCCGCAGTTCTTTTTTAATTACTTTGAGTTTTTATCGGGAAGATGCTGCTCATCTAGCGATTTATTTCCTTCTGTCGCCTCTTACAACGTCACGGGATGACATGGGGTAGGATATTCATATCTTAGCCATAAAGCAAATCTTTATTTAAGTTCCGATTTTCATGAAATTTTTATGGTGTACTTGTGGCGTCACCTGGATGGTCTTTACATATAGTTAAACCCAGTAAGTGGCGCTATGTCAAAAATTACTTGTAAATAGCCGAGCTGGTTCACTAGTTAATTATATGTTGATACGTAAAACAAATGACTAATGAAGCACAATGAGGGCATCTACAACTCTCTTTGCCACCAGAGCGGCGTCACTTATTATGAGGTGTAATATTTGACAGATTTCGCAGCGGAGAAGTTCATTTGTACGAAAAATTAAAAGGTTAATGTTTATTTTCGTACTATTAGTTATATGTTGTATTAATTAGATTAAAAACAAATAAACCAAACCACAGATATTCATAAAAGTAAAAAATAAAAAAAGAGATTAAATGTACAAAAATTTTAGGAGCAACCCAGGCCTAATTTAAGACTCTAGAAACTGATTAACTTTTATTTAAAATTAACTTCTCAATTCAATGATATTGCGTAACAAAAAAAAATTACCATAATAATCAAGTAGTGAGATCTGGTGAGTGAAATAATATTAGCCCTCATTGCAATGCAAGCACTCATATATTATACTAGCTGTTCCCCCGCGACTTCGTCCGCGTGGAATTTATTTCCAGTTCTTTTCGCAAAACCCCTAATTCTTTTACAATATTTAATAATAAAATAAAAGTAAGCCAAACTTACTCCTTATAACATCAGCTCTCTGCCAGTGAAAGTCCTGCCAAAATCGGTCCAGCCTTTTCGAAGATTATCCGGAACAAACAGACAGACAGACAGTCAGACAAAATTGTAAATTTTGTGTTTTTGTTATAATTACCGTTATATAATGTCATACGCATTAAAAAAAATTGTTCTTTTTACACAACAGCCACTTTTATTTTATTTATTTGTATAGATTCCTGATGCTCATTGCACGATTTCATACAAATTTTTACTAGTTGTACATGTGTATACAAATTAACAAAACAAAGAACGTTTGTAATAAAATAATCTCAAGATTGTACAATGACTTAAGAACAAAAGGTTGTTTCTTAAACAACAAACAGCAACGAGTTGCACTGTTTTGTTTACAGGACTGTAATCTAATAAAATTAGTCCAGAAAGGAGTCTAAAAGCTAAGTAACTTTCCTTTCTATATATACATAAGTAAACTAATAATAAATGCAACGTAGCGACGATATAAGGAAATCATTTTATGTAGATGTTTCAAAAGTGACTATTTAAATGCCAGAAAGATTTCATGATTACATCCCTGTACATTTTTTTTATAAAGTAAGGGTGAAAAACGAGCACACAGTTTTCTTAATGGTATGTGAATGCTGTAGCCCATAAACATCCACATCTAAGAAATAAAATGCGCATGCGTTGTCAATCCTAAGGACTAAGATAAAAAGCAGAGTTATAGGCCGTGGAGGAAGAGAAAGGCGCGTCTTATGATACTGGTGCGCCTTACTTAAGATAGAAATCCTCCTCCGAGGTGCTGCCGGTGCCATTGGGACCCGATGCTAGCGCAGATATGTTCAAAAGCGTTTCCCGTGGCCCTGCCAATATGCGGTAAACGTGGAAAACTATGGGGTTTTAATCGGTGCAACCCCCATAACTTCTTCATTCGACCTTTAACTAAAAATGTTACAAATTACATGTCCATCTTTATTTTAAAGAATGCATGATATTTCTGAAATGATTTAGAGAACACTTAAGCATGGAGACCGTCTGTGGATCTACGAACCGCGAACTAAACGAAGTACTAAAGGAAAAAAGAGTGCACCATTTTGACTGGTGCGCGTTTTTTTTTTGTACGCTATTTTTTGAGTCTCTAACACATGAGCTAATTTTTCATCTACATTATACATACATATAATGTTACAATCAGAGATTTATACTCGTAGTTTTTCTGCGTAATAGAATTCGAAATGGGGGCCTCCACAATAGAACCAATGTTACCAACATAGCCCAGCGGATCAGTAAACTAAAGTGACAAAGCTTTATCCTATTACTCGAAAACCCGACAATTAATAGGAAATAATGATTCTAGAATGGCAACCTCGTTCTGGTAAGCGAAGTGTATGTACATTTGTGAACCCTGTATGTACATTTATGATCTATGCCTGTTTGTCCACAAAAATAATAATAGTTTTAAGAAAATTAAAGATACGCATAACTTAAATACACGTAACAAAAATAAATTATACCTACCACAGTCGCGAACAAAAATGTTAAATACAAGCCCCTACTATATGGCAATAAAAGTATATAATAAATTACCACAGGAAATAAAAAATATATCAGAATTAACCAAATTTAAATCAAGACTCGGTAAATATTTAAAACAAAACCCCTTCTACTCAGTAGAAGAGTATTTAGATAAAAAATAACACTATTATATATTTTTATATCTTTTATAGCTTTTAATTTTATTTTATTTTATGTATGTTAATAGTATATAAGCAGTGCCCTTGTCAGATTTGCAGTGCCTGAAAAAGGCGTCTAAGTTGTAAGCACATTTTTAATTTAATACCAATTATGTACACTTAGATTGCAAATAAATGATTTGATTTGATTTGATTTGATTTGAAGTGTAGGGCGATCCTTTACTAGATGGTATGACGATCTGGTAAGACATACAGGAAGTTAATAGATGCAGGGAGTTTATGATGTTTATGTGACATTCCTTGAAAGAGTAGCAAAGGCTTCTGATGGACTGTAATGTCGATGGTGATGATATAGAGTCAACATACGAAAATTGTAACTTCTTTAGCGATGGGGCTTACCGCTGTCTTTTTGTTCAAAAAATAATGTATTTTTTATTTGCATGTGATTTATAATTGTTAATTTATAATTATTTTTTTATAGGAGAGGGGCTAAACGAGCATACGGCTCACCTGATGATAAGTGATTACCGCCGCTCATGAGCAACTGCAACACCAGGGGAATTGCAGATGCGTTGCCGGCCTTTTAAAAAGGAGTGGGCTCTTTTCTTGAAGGTCCCTAAGTCGTATCGGTCCGGAAAATCTCTGGTGGTAGTCGATTCCACAAGAAAGTTGTGCGAGGAAGAGAACTTCTTTTAAATCGCACGGCGGTGGACCGCCAGTCATCCGGATGGTATGGATGATATCGTGAGTTTGGTCGGAATTTGCGAAGGTAAAATTATACGCCTGGAATTAGTCCGAACAATTCCTCAGAGCACTTTCCGTGGTAGAAGAAGATAAAATACGCAAAGAGATACAACATCTCTTCGCAGTGCCAGTGAGTCAAGCCAATCGGAAAGAGCTTGGTCACCGACGATTCGAACAGCTCTGCGCTGCTCTGCGATCAAATGGAAGGAACTGGCACTGGGCAGCCCCGGCCCAGAGATGGGAATAGTATTCCATGTGCGGTCGAACCTGCGCCTTGTAAAGTTGCAGGCGGTGACCCGGCATGAAATACTGTCCCGCTCTGCTGTGCTGCTATATAATATATAAAGCAGCACATCAGAGTGTTATATATAATTATATTTGCAATTTTTTTGTATACAGTGCAATCTCGTTTTACTACAAATACACATTCTGGCTTTAGCTCCAAGCATTTCTCTCTTAACTTTAAGACATATTTTTCGTTATTTTATAATTAATACGTGTGGAGGTAGCATTAGATAACCTATCATCCTGTTTCATAACGTGGGTAACTTTAGAGGGTATTATGTGAAATGCCAGAAAAATCTTGTGCCTTCCGACAGATGGCAGTTTATCAATACATAGTATAATCTGTTCCCCTAACATTTTTGGGAGATACTAAAAAAGAACAACACACAAACTGAATTTACCACTAGAATATCTTGCAAACGCCTTCTGAATCACTTACTCAATGAAGCTCGCAAACAAAGTCATCTGAAACCGGACGAATGACTGTCAATACGAAAGATCACAATGAATGTCAAAACAATGCTTGTTTATGTTTTAATTAAACAATTACATATCATTTTCGTGAATAAGCGTGATCTGTCCATTGACAATCAACTCACAACATAAAATATTTACTTTGCAAAGAAAAAACGTATGATTTAACGTTGAACGGTTTAAATTGGGCTATAAACCAATGTAGTGGACCAAGTCTTGATAATCGTCGATTGAATTTGGAACGTACTCATAACAACCGTGCCAATCAACGGTGGAAGGCAAAACAACAGTCCACGTCGAAACAATCAGTTGTAAAGAGATTTTCGTTTAAACAGCATCGATGAAGAAATTTGTTGTCTTTTTAAGTTTGACCATAAAGTGAATTTATTTAAATTTAAAATATTAACTTCTATTTTAACTTTAGTTTTATTACAAAACAAAGTGCATTTCAACGTATAAAATCATTAATTTTTTTCTTGTTTTAATACAAACAACGGAGCTTCCGGTAGAATGTTAGTATTGAGAAGTTGAAATGTGATGTGGCATAAACAAACGGAAATGAATCGTTACTTGTTCATAGTCTTTTCCTCAGCACTTGTCGTCTTGACTTTACAGGTAAGTTTATTATTATTAATTATATCGTGAAATTAAATGAGTATTGGGGTAACCACTGGGGGAAAATACTACAGTAACAGCCTCGTACCGGGCGGAGTATAGGATGGCTCGTTAGTACATAGAATGAACACCTGGTAAGACTTGCAGTAAATTAATGGATACAGGGAGCTTAATATCCCGCTTTGTAAAATTGTTTAGGCGACGCCCATGTCCAGTGTGGACTTGCAAAGGGTTGTGTGTTTTAATTTAGTATTTTTGTATTGAATTTGGAAATAGCCTCGATATTTATATTATTCTACCAAAATTTATTATATATTCATAATTAGAATTAAATTTATTATATTAACTTTACTTACATGACATCAAAATGACAAGATGATGATAGTGATATGGGGGGAAATTAATAACATCTTTCTCCAAGTGTCATGTGATGAATATGAGTAAATATTTCAAGAGTTTGACCAAAATCAGTAGCTTCCAAGGACTGATTAAGAAGATGAAATAACGCATGTAACTGCTGGTGACAATAAGTCTGTAAAAATAAAGTTACTGTTGGGCACAGGCATCCTCTTACTTTTGGCAGGGTTTTAAGGGCAAGGGAGTGTATGCCGTGCTGCATATATAATAACTCTGTATATATTATCAATTCAATTGAAAATTTCTACAACGGATATATTATAAATCGATGTAAGAGCCCCGATAGTCCAATAAAACTTGCAATCACTAGGAGGATGAAGCGGGTGTCAGGGATTGATATCTACTCCGGAATGGGCTAAATTCACAGCATAACATAAACACTGAGGGCTATCACTGTAAGTAAATAGAAGTCCTTCTTGAAATTAAAGGCCAGAGTTTTAAACTCTGTCTCAGGATTATGATAAAATATACATCCGCTTCTAGAGAAAATAGTAAAATTGCAACATATTTCTGCTATTTCGTAGGTGAGTAATGAGATCCGGAGACCGTTTGTAATGGTTACAAAATATTTCATCTTAGTCCTCAAGAAAGCGCATCAGCGCTTTGATTCACAGCCAAGGAAATCGAGGTCTTATTGCTTATTTTAATTTGTTGGAAATAATTAAATTAAGCGTAGAATGTAAAATAGTACTTTTCTTTCTTTATTTTCCTTTAACAAAGAAAGGTTACTTCCACTAAAATTTTCTCCTGTATCGTGGAAGCACATTACTCGGAACAATTATTTTAGACCATACAAATAATTAATTATTCCTTATTTGGGATTCGAACCTGCGGCCCTCAAATCCGCAACACAATGCTAAGCCAATGCGCCAGAACGTATCTTTGGAGTTTGTTCATCACATCCAGTAATTGTTTGTTCAAATATTTACACAAAGTAACTTTGAGCATTTATCTTTATCCAAATCAGCTGCAAGGAAATTTGGTTTCCTTACAAAGGTGCGGCGGTGCTTTACGCCGAAACAGTTTCTTAACCTAGTAGAGTACTGGTGCTACAAAATGCTAACAATCAGCTTTGAATTTACATCCATGCTAAATGGCATATTAGAGAATTTGATTTTTGACCAATTTCGTCAGCCAAGAACACAGACGAAGAGTACCCAGCCTCTCAGTATTCTATAAGATACATTTTGGATTGGAGCTACATTATTTAATTCCTCCCTCCCCTTTCCACTATTAGACAACCAGATGGTAGGCTGGTCACGAATAAAAAAATGAAATAATATGTAAACATTTGTCTTTTAGTCTGATTTTTCTTTTTTTTTTCTTTTAAAAAACGTTACCTCCACACTAGGATTTTCTCCTGTATCGTGGGGGCAGTTTACAAACATAAATTTCACAAAAATTTCTAATATTTTTGTGGCTGGAACTCTAGACCAAGAGCCGTCCAATTGGTATGGCAAACGTGAATAAGTTTTTTACGATATAAATAAGATAGCTTAGATAGATATAATTTCCTTTTTTTAAGAAAAAAACAGTGCGAGTTGGCACTTATGTTATATTGCTTTTTCGCGTGTAAGCATTTATTCGAATATTGCGAAGAGATGTTGCATCTCTTTGCATATTCTATCACATATACTACGGGGAGTTCTAAAAGGATTAGTTCAGATAGATTCCACCTAAATTTCTATAGTCACTATTAAAGTGTAAAGTTCTATAGTACACTGCGATCATCATTCTCTAAGCCATTTCCCATTATCTGGGGGGCAGTAAATCTTTTTTCATTCTCAGCGTCATTTCATACTTACTCCTTCTTTTTTTTCTTCTAGACTGCGATAGAACTCCTAATTCTCTCCACATCATCTCGATGATAGGCAGTCAACTATTAGCTATTTTACGAGAATATTTCTGTCATGCATAATAGATTTTAGTGTCGCCAGCAGTTTTTCCTGACCGATACGACTTAGAAATTTTAAAAAAGAGCCTTATCCTTTCTGGGCCTAGGGCCAGCAACGTGCCTGCAATACCTCTGGTATTCGTGGGCGGTAGTTGTAAATTAGGATTTTACTGAGCCTGTCGAAGGAGCATTTCTTTACCTACTCTTCTATAAAATAATATCACCCCTTACAACTACTACGTGGGATTGGAATAAAGCACGGGCTTATTATTAAAAACTCTTTTTAAAAGTGAACGAAAATAAAAAAAAAATTGTTGTTGTTAAAAAGTTCCGAAAAACGATAAGTAAAAATCTTCAAATCAGTTTACTAACCGTTAAGAGAAATAAACATTCTAAATGATATAATCGTTCATGTATAGTTGATCGCCAAAGTAGATAAGCGTTGCAATTTTTTATTTGAGCGTTTTCCTAACAAAATATTTAAAAAATACCTAGAAAATAAATCCATTCCGATAATTTTCATTAAACCTCTACCTTATCATAGGCGTTGTTATTTGATATTTTTTTAGATTTTGCTTATTGATACTAATAAATAATCAATTATTTTAAAAAGGTTCATTACAGAGATTTTAATAGATACACAGACACGATACCATATATGCATGGATCTTAAAACATAGTTTGAAATGTACTTAAAATATAATTCTTATGATATTCGTTAATGTTTAAGACCATTTCGTTTTGTTGAATTTTATTACTTTCCGCTGCAAAGAGCGCTTTGAGATTACGTAAAAGCGTAACCACTGACGATAAACTTGAGAACTGTTAATGCGGTGAGAGCTGAGATCTAAAAGGCTCGTCGCAATAATAAAACTCGAAACACACAAAAGCACACATCAAAGAATCTAGGTTTTAAAAGCACACATCATAGATACGATACCTAGGTCAAAAATATGGTCTGAAGCTAAAATTTATAATCTAGTATAACCATCATCATCATCATTATCATCATTGCAGCCTTTCAAGTCTACTGCGAATATAGAACTCCCACAAAAATGCTACGGTCTACGGATACAAATCACGGTCCTAAACCACCTGCATCCATAGACCTGCATGTTTTAAAAGGTCGAGACTCCATCTAGTGGAAGGTTGTCGAAAACTCCACATACTTGTACGAAAGTCATTTATATATATTCATACTTTTAATATACATCCATCCAGCCTCTTTCTTTTAAAGTAAGAGCTCGTTAAACCGACTACGAATGTAGAAGAAAAGTTCTAAAGTGGCAGCCTCGTTTTGGTGAGCGGAATGTATTAATAAGAGCGGAATGTATAAATATAATTTATTTATCATATCATAACTATCGAATGATATTTATCATTCGATAAAGTTTCGAATATTTTTCAGAAATTTTTTAACTTGATTAGGATAATTCACAGAGGGCTTGAAATAAAACAGTGAAAAACTATTTTACGGCTTTTTACTATCTTAGTACAGACAATTTTCTCATGTTAATCTGTTGTGGGAGAGTGGTGCCCTACATTCCGCTCACCAAAACGAGGCTGCCACTTTAGAACTTTTCTTCCACATTGGTAGTCGTTTTGACATATAGCTCATATGGCTTTTAAACCGACTCAAGAAAGACTAAAACTTCACTATTATTATCTGCTATCCGATAATGTTGTTTTTTTAACTTTAATAAAGTATATACGATCTCACTGCTGTGCAGTCTTCTTTTAATATATAGGAATATTATGAAGCAGAAAATATTTTTAACTCTTAAACATACAACTTTGTTGATGTGTTTATTTTCATGAAACATATGATAATTCGTTAGCACATAAAATTATTATTAAAAATTTACTTAGCCATCGGGGGTAGAATTCTATTCGGATTTAATAGTCCTTATTTTTTAATACATGCACGTTTTGATTTTAAAATTATCATCCAAAATATCTATACATTTTATATAAATCCATCTCCTTTCAAAAATTTAATAACCTTTAAAAGTAAATTCGAAGTTTGAATTTTTTTACCTTTGTTAATTCGAAATGACGGGAGTTCACAGTTATAAAATCGCAAACTCATATTTTACAATGAGGTTGATTAAATATTCTGCGGCAATTTAGGTTTTATAAGGCTTTACAAATTAGTTTTACAAAGCAAATGACCTAAAAATTTTAGAACTATGTACTGATTTGTACGTAACATATACATATCGTACAATATCGATCTGTTTCATTTCATAAGTAGGAAAGTGTAGAATTTCTTTATCACAAACGTTTACTGAGTATATGTTGTGAACAGAAAAATATTTAATATTAAAATATCGTAAAAGTATTAAATCTAGAGAATAACTAAGTTTTGAGGTAATGTGACATATAGGTATTGTGCTGAACTAAAGGATAACAATTGCCTATATTTTTATCCTTATTTTTTTTTTGAAATATTTTTAATAGAATATGTTATTAAAAGTCATTTTTAATTTTGTCATGGATTCGAAAAAACTTCAGTCTTTACTTATGCTGAATACTTATATAAAATTCCACATGTTACCTATATATTGTATGTACAAGTTACACACTTGTGTTTTTTATAGAATATGTTTCGAAAAAGCATCGTGGCAGGAGCGTTTTATTCGTGCTCCTGAAAATTAACCAATGATCAATTTTTACAGACGACCGACTTCCAAGACAATCTGATCAATGGATACCGGACATTAATAGCAGACATACAAGTGCGTACGCAAAAGTCAAGGGAAGACATGGACACGTTGGTGTCACAAATCAAATTGCTTATGAAGAACGAAGCTGACAAAGCTATTAACTACATGACGGTGTACCTTGAGCAAATATCCTTATATTTTCAGGTAAAAATTAACATGTTTTTACTTTAATTCTAGTAAACATTTAGAGCAAAAATAAGTACAATAATGTTGTGACAAAGTGTGTGTAATTATTAAAATACTTTGAATCAATAAAATTTAAACATGGTAGAGCCAAGCTGCAACCACATTATAGTTGGAACACAAACAGGTCGACTTGACCGGGGGAGAGTTAACACACTCTCAGCGTCAAATAGTAACTTAACTTTTTACTCGAAATGAAGCATTTCATCTCAGGGGTGACAGTTGATGCGCTGGTGAGTGAAGAGAACCGGTGAACCTTTTTACGGGAAACGAGGAAAATACTACGTTATAATTATTAAGTAATGACTTAATAATTATAACGTAACATTTTAGTCGCTAGGCGTGAAAACACATTTACATATTTATTCTTAATTGAGGATAGGAGTCTTTGTGCCACAGAATCCAATTACCATCAGGTACTAGGACTGCATACTCTTTAGTCACCATTTTACTAATTACTAAATCGAAATCAAGTACCTAATATGTTTTATTACTTTTAAGTTTGAATGCTAACAGGATCAATCATTTGTGCAAAGTTAAAACTGTTTTTTTTTTCGAAATTTTCTGACACTAGGTCCGAGGCTACCTTGGTAGCATTGGATACAAGTAAGAACGAATTAATGCCTCAATGTTTTCCGACATTATTTTTCGCGTAGTTAGCATCAAATCGGACTCGTAGAGGAGGGTTCTAATATTATAGAGTATAAGAAATATGCTCACAATTAATCAAATCTATCGTGAAGTATAGTTTAATTTGTTTGAGTTAAAGTTTTAGTTAATTGGCTAGAGAAGTTTTCAACTAAAGCAATCATGTTGGCCACCTAAACTACAACGACGAAACTAGTCTTTGTTTTCATTTAGAAACATCTAGTGATTTCAAATAATATAAAATAGACTTTGTATATAATCTACGTGAAAAAACTTTGTATTGGTTAATTTCTGCGTAAATGTATAAGAAAAACTGATTATTTATAAATAAGTTTCAAAGTTTCAAGATTGTAAGGTTCACTAAAACCATAAAATTAAATATAAAGCTAAAATTAAATTAAAATATCAAATTAGGTTCAGAATATGAAATAAAGCTCTAAATAATCAGGTTATATACACTTTTCTAGGTAATAATTCATGACCGTAAACCGCGAAATGGAACTTACTGCAAAGAGAGCATTGTGAAATTACTCGGAGAAAATCTGCAGTTGGCAGATGAAAATGTCACTTTATGCTTAGCATTGGGATATCAAAGAGTACAAAGGTTGCCAGGTAAGAATTTTAATATTAAGACTTAATATATAATGAAAAATAAATAATATGATCCTAATATTAATCTATATTTTAGTTAGACAACGGTTTATATTCAAACTCGTTATTGTTTACTATAATATAAGTATAATGTGTGCTTATAAACCTCCAGTGACTTAGTATTATTGTTAACCTATATACGTACAGACCTCGTTTTATTTTGCGACAGCCTTCCTTGTTTGTCATGCATGAGTCCGTTCGAAACAATACAGGTGTATCCAAAACATTCCGTCAGTTTTACAATAATAATCATAGCTAATTCATGTCAAAAGAATTTCTGCTATTTTGTCGTCATTTGAAGTCATTTTTAAATGCCGTAGTTATATTCCGTAAGTATCGAAAAAAAAAACATAAATTTATTCAATTAATTATAGAAAACATTTAACTTAAATGTTATTAATGCGGATGTGTTTCGAATGATGAGTGTAAAGAGAGAACCGGAGACCCTTTTACTAGAAACGAGGCATTCCATCTTAGTGACACTTACGTCAGGTGGAATGTTCGCTCGTTTGTTACCCTTTTCCTATATAAAAATTATCTTGCTTAGCATTGTAGTAAATTAAAATTATTTACTTTAAAAACACAGGAAAATTTTCTTCTTTTTTATGAAAAAAAAACACATTAATTCTAAGTTAATAAATAAATAATACAATAAGTGACGCTAATTTGGGTTTCTAAAACTAAATATTTATGCAGCAAATAGCAATAAAGACTATAGATCTATAGGGTTCACCCTAAATAAATTTCTAATGTTGTTGCCGCTAAATAAAACTATTCAGCGTGGGAGCTTTGCTAGCGTTCTTAGCAATATACTGCGAGAAGAACGAATTTAAAATATTTTATGCGTTATTATACGAATATGATATCATATCAAAATTAATATAGAATACGACATTAAGGAAAATAATTTCTAAATTAAATAAAATTTCTCTGAAAGCTTTAGGCATTAACTTAATTTCGGAAAATTTAAGCGTTCAATATTTTAAGCGTGAATCAGTATAATTATTGCAAACGATTTTGATAAGATAATTGGCTTATCACATGCATGTACCTTATCAAGTTTCCATGTCATTATATAAAACGATACTTAATGGCCGTTGCGATTATAATACTAAAGTTAAGGGGAAGTTATTTTGAAAGTCGGCTATGGGAAAGATCGAATGACCATATTATGACATCTAATAAAATGCAGTATACCATTTCACACAGGGTATAGGTGCGAACATCTACTACAGCAATCACCAATTCACCTACCATGTGTGACGATTGTAGTAGGTCACTTACATAATATAATAGAACCATGTTCAACAGTGATAAAGATGAAAAATCTGATAAAGAAGTAGTAGATGAGTGTGTATAACGTGTCTACTTTGGTTTCAGAAAAACTACAAGTTCACTTTGAAACTCTAGAAAATTTGAAGAAATATTCAGCGTCAAAGTTATTTGAGTGTCAGAAACAACAGCAGGTTGGAGGGAATTGTTCACACGAAAGTCAGGATCTTGAAAGGACAGTTGTTAGTATCCACTAAACATTATTAAATTAAACATATGTTTCTTTAAAAGTACACTAGAAACGCTTTTTACTTTAAGTTTTCCATTAAGTACTCCTATTAACATTAAATGTAATTTCAACCAATAACTTTAGACTTAAAAGGTTGTACTCTACCCGTTTTCTTAATAAGCTTAAAATTCAAGTAACCTTTTCATTGCAAAATATAACTCGAACAATAAACCTAATAATAATTGCACTTAAATATTTGACACAAATTATCTTCAAGCGCATTTGATCTGATGAAAGTTTATTATTTTCAGTTCCTGTATGAAACTTCGCCTTTCCCGGTAGTAATGGCCGAAATAGCTATTCACGGCTTCAAAGAAGTATCTGACTTAAGCGTTTGTCTAAAAGACATAATTTCAAGAATGATGACACATTCAGTTAAAGTGATTGGAGACTTCAATAGATGCATCCACAATATTGAGATGCCAAAATTGAAATATTTATTGAAATTCATGAAAAAATATGCGTAAACAACAACGTAGAAAAAAGAAGTATTTATAACAAATTAATCAAAAACACTTTATTGTTATTTCTTAAAAATAAATATAGCAAATTCTACCTTGGCAATACCTAACAAAATCAAGACGAAGGTTTGTTGCAATAACGTGACACCGTAAAATAATTATAAGTGTAAGGTCTGGAGAAATACAGCTGTTTGAATATGGCGTAATACATTATAAGTATATTTATTTAATTTTAAAAATATTTGTTTCACAACTGTTTCGTAAAATAAATGTTAAGATTTAAAGCAACCTGTTTATCATTCCCTCAGTAAAAATTGCTTTCAACCCGCTGTCGCTCTTCATGTAAATAGATCTCTTATATTTAAATAAAATGCAGCTTCAGCAAGTTCATGACACTCCTGGATAAATATTGGAACGCTTATTTATATTTAAACACTTTTATGACGAATTCTGTTAAGGCAGGGTTAAAATAAATAAAATTTTAAGCAATAATAACAGATTACATCAGGTAGGTAGAGCCACACTGCAGTTATATTATGGTTGTAGCACGAATGGGCCAGCTCGACCGGGGAAGAACCACGCTCTCACAGAATACTAGCGTAAAATAACAGTTTAATACTACTATGTTGGTGCGTATGGTGAGTGTAGAGATCCGGAGAACATAGTTTTATGGAAACAAGGCATTCCATCTTAGTCCTCAGAGGTAACAACGCATCTGCGTTTTGATTCTTAATCAAGGATAAATGTAGATGTCTATGGGCCACAGCATCCGCTTACCACCGGGTGGACTATTGCTCCTTTGTCACCCTTATTATAAAAAAAAAATTATTAAGTGTGGCGGTGTTGGGTTTAGAGTTTCCCTTTTTACTGTTTTTATTCATTTATTGTATACGCGTTTTGATTAGACATTGATAGTTATAGTTATTACACATATATTATGTGAACATAGACATTTTAACGTAGTTGTTTGCACTTTGTACCTATAATATATTTTCTGTTTAGCCTAGGGTAGAAAATGCATTGTTGCATTAAGACCGCCTTTTTGTATTTGGTATACAAATAAAATCTGAATGAATAAATTTTCAAAGTAATTTATATAAAATCGAGATTTTTATAGAATAGGGTGACCAACTAGCACACAGTCCACCTGATAGTAAGTGGTTGCTTTGGCCCATAGACATCTACATCTATCCTCGATTATAATCAAAATGCAGATTTTTTTAAGGATAGGGTGACAAATGAGCACAAAGTCCACCCGATGTTTAGTGGATGCTGTGGCCCATAGATATTTACATTTATCCTCGATTAAGAACCAAAACGCAGATGCATTGTCGCCCGTGAGGACTAAGATGGAATGCCTCGTTTTCATTAAAAAGGATCTCCGGTTCTCTACACGCACAATACAAAGCAACATGATTAAGCTACTATTTTACGCTGGTATTCTTTGAGAGCGTGGTCCTTCCCCGTTCGAGCCAACCCTTTCGTACTACAACTATACTACTAATATAACTGCAGCATGGCTCTACCACGTAAAAATTATTTAATTGTAAGCAACACAACACTTTTTTGCTTACAATTAAACAACGGTCGAATTCTCGTTTTTAAGCGATAACCATAAAATATTTTTCGATAACATGAAAAGCATGTTATTTAAGATTCTTAATTTAATTCTTTTTTGGAACCTTTATTTCCTGATATGCAAAAATTTTTCAAATAAACTAATTTTTTGTCGAATAAATTTCGGATGCTTACTTCAAGCTGGACAAATATGCATGCAAAGGAGAAAAGAGGAAATCCTCGCCTTAAGTGCAAGGACGTACTCGTAAAGAAATAAATGAAGCCTATCATTTTTCTTTCATTTTGGTTGGTTGGTTTAAAATCATCATTTTAGTAATTAAGAAGTTTAGGTGGGACATTTACCTAAGAATTTAATTAATTTATCTACAAAAATGCTGATGAACTTATATATAAACTACCTAATGTATTAAAACTATATCAGTAAACAACGAAAAAATTTTTAACGTCTTGATACTTACACACTCTTGAAGACATATTAAAGAAAAATTTATTAAAGTTTAACTCAGATAAAATAAAATAAAAAATAAAATTATTTCTGAACTGAATTTTTTGATAAATTGAGTACCATTTGGTTAAAATATAAATAAAGATAGACTAACTTTTATCAATTTTATATAGCAGTCGTATCAAGCGAAAGGGTTGTTGTAAAACTCATAAACCATCTCCAAACATAAACAAATACCTATCCATAATGGAGTACTATTATTAAATGATATAGTGTATAAAATTTCGATTTTCATTGTTTTGTAAAACGTAAACGTTGTATTAACTTACCAAAATTATAACGACGTCAGTTGAACAGGGTTGATACTTTAAGAGTCTGCTGAACCTTAAAGTCCTTTGAGCCATCGTCAGTGGACCAACTGGTCTCGACACATGTATAAGAGGAGAGGGTGGTTGCTGTGGGGGTGGTGTAGATGCAGGTGGAACATGTCTTCTTACAGTCTCTAACGGCATTGTCCGAGCTACTAAACTGTCACTGCCAATGGAATTCGCACTACCACTGAACAGGTTCATTAGATCGCCAATAGAACCACCTGCACTAGATCCGCCGCCACAGCGAAGCTTGTCCAAGTCCGTCAAACTAGAACCGCGGCGAACGCGGAGGCGTGATCCGCTCATATTTGTACGGCCAGAGATGGATTGTTCGCGGCGAATATCGGCCTCGCTCGCCGCTTGACCCTTGCTACTACGCAACATTCTAAACATTTATAAAATATTTTGTAAACCTATTCTGTGTAACTCATGAACGTTCACAAAAGTACTGGCTGATGCCACCTGAAGTAAAATTAATTTGCATACAGATGGCTGATAGGTGCGCGCGCGTCGTATAATCATTAGGGCCACGGTCGCCCGCAGGATGTCGCTATCGCGTCCTTGCACGCTTCCGACGGCATCGCTTCAAAAATAAAAATACGACGTAACTTGCAATACTTACTTACTTAAATTTTTAACGTCACGAATTACTTTAGGGTTGTTGACGGCTCAGAGGCTATAAACAAACTGAACGTAGAATGCTTAGTTTCACATGTACGTATGGCTAGAGCAACTTGGTAGAAATAATGAGGTGATTGGGTTCAAAGCGTCACGGGACTCAGCGGGCGGCAACCACTTAACGAATAGGCGGCACTATTCAACAACCCATAGGTTGTCTGTGACTAAAATGAAATATACCTACTAATATAACAGCTGAATGTACCGAGATTTCTGAAAGCAATTATGAAACACTTCAAACATAGTTCCAGAAATTAAGTAATAGATCAAATAGCGGTATTTTCCTTTCAAAATCGTCATATTTATTTTGTGATAATTAAATTCGTCAACAATATGACTCATTTCTAATTATTACATTTCTCAAACTCAAAAAATAGCATAATAATCTTTATTGGGATACAAAATTTTAATTCAAACGAGATTATAGCACAAGTTAATAAAATTTCATCAACATCACAAAAAAATCAAAAACAATAAAAATTTAAAATATTTGATTTTATTTGTTTTTTTTTTTTCAATCAAGTGCGGCAATTAATATAAATTGCATGCGCTAAAATAAAAGACGTAGCTGAACACAACCTATGATATTAACAAGCAGGACAACGCAACGTCTGCCGGATTATTTCGTAAATAAAAATGTGTTAATTTTTAAATTCTTTCTTATAGTGTAGTTACACAAGTTTTTTGTTTTATAAAAATTTTAAATTTTAGGAAATTGATATGACATTGACTGAAACCGTATGTGGCAACGAGACATCGCGATACTAGCGGCAAAGGACCGAGAACCAAAGAATATCATTGTAAATTGGCTGCTTTTACTGTATTTTATACGTTATAATAAATGTAGAGAATTGATATGACATTGACTGAAACCGTATGTGGCAACGAGACATCGCGATACTAGCGGCAAAGGACCGAGAACCAAAGAATATCATTGTAAATTGGCTGCTTTTACTGTATTTTATACGTTATAATAAATGTAGAGAATTGAATTCACGTATTCGTTTAATAGTTTCCGGGGATAACAGTCCATTTAGATCTAAAATTATAACGTGAATGAAATAAGATCTTATAGTTGTTCATAACTTAATTTCCACCAATTATCTATTTTTCAGAATTAATAAAACGATAAAATCCCAATATACTTTACCTAATCATGTATATATATATATATATATTTTTTTTTTTTTTTTGTAATATAATATAAATGTATTTAAGGTTAGTTATATTACATATTTTCGATCTTTCATTTGCCTTCAAATAATCAAAAAATAAAAATTATAAGTTACTTGTCTTTTGCATAGAATGTTTGATCATCATTATATATTACATATAGGATTTATGAAATATAAATCTTGTACAGGTCCAATCATGAATGAAAAGGTTAATTATTTGCTGTTTAAATCGTATGACTACATTCGTAAGTTGCCTTTATCTTCAAGGTTTCCCATTAGGAGGTCAGTACCATGTGGTGAAATAACAGCATTTTCACATTTGCGATACGTTAGCTACATTCTGACACAGTGGGGTGCATTCCACTACAGTTCGTTTCCAGATGCTTTTCTATAGTTGAAAAATAATGTACCGAGTGTACATTCTATTAGAAGACATTTAATGGCTAAAAACTTGTTATTTTTAAGTGGTAAAGCCATGCTGCTGCTATATTAAGCTATTAACATGATGGGTCGGCTCGACCGGAGAAGGACCACGCTCTTACAGAATACCAACGTGATATAGCAAATTTATACTGCTGTGTTTCATGTGGTGAACGTAGAGAACCGGAAACCCTTTTTACTAAAACTAAGCATTTCATTTTAATCCTCAGGGTAGACAAAACATTTGCATTTTAATACTTATCGAGGACAGATGTAGATACGTATGGCCCACAGTATTCACTTAATATTTGGTGGACTGTGCGCCCATTTGTCATTTTTATTGTATAAAGAAATTATATTTTCCATAAATTATCAACAACTACAGACGTCTGATTCCTGACTAAACTCTACTCCACAAAAGATATATAAATACTAACATATTTATTTTTATAACCAATATTGTTGTAATTCTTTGGACTTGCAAAGATATGAAATGAAAGAAACGCTAGGTAATTTCAAAATTAAACTTTCAATTAAAAGGAAAAATCCTATAAAAACTAAAAAAAATTGGTTGACTCTCCAAGCCATCTCTGGAACTTTCCGCTAATTTTAAATGCAAAGCGCTCCAAATTTCACCAAATTATGTTGCGAAATCTTGAAGTTATGTTAAAAATAGTATATACTTATATGGTGACAAGCAAGAACATAGGCCACCTGATCTGGATGCTGTTGCCCGTAGTCATTTCCATCTATTATCGATTAAGAATCAAAATGCGTTGTCACTTGTGAGAACTAACATAGAATATCTCATTTCCATTGAAAATGGTCTCCGGTTCTCTAAGCTTACCATATGAAACACTGCAAATAATAAACTGCTATTTTACGTTGATATTCTGTGAGAGCGTGATACTTCCCAAGTCGAGCCGACCCATTCGTGCTACAACTATAATATTAAAACTGCAGCGTGCATTCTATATTTAAAATTAAATTATTATGTAATACTTCAACAAATATGTACTACATATATAAATATTTTACTATAATATGTATTCGATATTCAAATGTAAATTATATATGATATTAAGAGGAACCTTATTCTCAAATGCTTGTAGATTTGAGAAATATTACTTTGATATACGATTTTTTTAATAATTTCTGACCTTGAAAAATAAAGTTTTTATTTTTCTTATTTATACAGTGTGTAATCAGTATCCAAGCATATAGAAATATATTTTTTTCAAAAAAACTCGTTTAAAAAAATTATTTGCAAATTGTATGTGGTTTAATTATCTCTACTCGGCCAATGCAAAGATAATATATATATATATATATATATATATATATATATATATATATATATATATATATATATATATATATATGTATATATATATGTATGTATGTATGTATGTGTGTATGTGTGTGTATTTAAACAGAATATTTTGGCCTGTGTTAAATAAAATTAAGCCCAAAACATAACCTACAATTGTAATAAATGTTAATTCAAAAATATTCTACGTTTAACAAATATATTTAAGAAATATATCATGTCAGTAATTACATTTTACGAGGCAACTGATGTGATAAGGATGATTTTAATAGTATCTCAATGAAGCTTAACGATCAAGTTGACTTAACAAGAAAATATTGGACACACACCGGGCTTGTCAGTACTTAATAAAATTGTGATTATTTTTATGTAGGACGATTAAATAATTTTATATGGTAGGGTATTTTCTTGGCAGCGAAGAACATTAAAATAGTATTACATCTATTGTATCGAATAAAAGTAGAAAGAAACATAATATAATAATTATGAGTATTTTCTTAATTTCTTCTCAAAGAAAATCTTAATCATACATAACATTCTATTCCCCGCTTTATGGTGTTTTAAAACAAATCTTTAAGGACTATAGGTATTTATATTTTAAGTATGAAGTAAAGATGTATTAAAAATAATTTAAAATTTAGATTAGCCTTGATATTAAAACTTACCTTATTTATTATAAGATACATGCACCTGCAAATGTTATTTCTCCATGTTTAAGATGAATACAAAAACACAAGAATATAAAAAATAGTGACGAAAAAAACAGAAACAAAAATATATTCAGTAACAAGTTAGGAATAATAAACAAGTATAGACGTAAACTTTAAAAATATAATATAAATATAAAATGTTCCTTTCGTCACAAATCCAAAAAGTACTCACGTTTAGTTGCATCACGATCTTGTTGTACGCCCGGTGCCATCGTTGTTTAGGTGTCAATTTTGGTTGCTCTGGCTGAAAATCAAGTTGTTCTACTTTATGTCTCTCTTCCTCCTCTTGAAATACTGTATCTTCTTCATTATATTGTTCATCGGTTTCATTGTACTGTTCCTGATCGTCAAATTTTTCTGATTCTTCTCGGTAAGCATCGTCTTGGTCATGATAACTTTGATGATCATCGTGATATTCAGAAATTGGTTCATCAAAGGAATCCCGAGATTCTTGAAAGGTATCAAACTCTTCAGGTACCTCATGGTATACTGTGCGATCATCTTGAAATGTTACTTTTGATTTGTCATTAATTAATTCTGAAATACAATTAATAATATCTTACATTTATTTTGTATTTATTATTTATTATAAACTAATGTGGTTAACTATTATCAATACTGAGATACTTATTTGTTGTATGTGCTTAATAAAATATGAACCGAAAAAAGCCTTCAAGTTAGCTTAGATTAAATTAAAAAAATATCGAATATCCTGACATTTATTTCATGAGTACTGACCTTCTTGAGTTGTCGGTATGGAAAGTTTTTCTTCTATGTGAACAGAGCTTTGAGATGGTTTTCGATCGTGTATCGATGGTGCTTGACTATGGTAACTGTCGACGGAAGGTTTCCGAATTCGTGAAGCAACCCTAGTTGGTGATGCAGTATTTTGTAAGCTCGGACTTGAAACTTCAGGTACTTGGCTTTCTTTAACAACATCTTTGTGAATGGTATCATGCATGTAATCATCGTCATGATACCTATCTAAAGATGTTCTGTCCTTGTCTGTACTTTGATCTAATTCAGTCTTTTGATAATCATCCTCGTAGGCACTTTCGTCAAAACTCGATTGAGGATAGTCTTCTGGTGCGTCGGGTAACGTACGTGTTCGCCGCACAGAAGGCCTTTGTATAGACTCTTGTCTTCTTAGTGATGGAGTCCGTGGCAATATAGGTGAACTTGTAGAAGTAGTAGTAGTAGTAGTAGTAGTAGATATTGTAATAGGAGTTGGCACTTCTGGGACGGATGCTGTTACAGGAGCAGTTGTACTTGTAAGAGGTGTAGAAGGCACATTTGATGTTATTTGACTTACAGTAACTTGAGGAGCTTGTGTTAAATTTGAAGGCTGATTTATGGGAGAAGGGGCCACTGCTGCTGCGGCAGCTCCAAAAAAACTACCGAGTTTCTTTGCGCCGCCTGCCATTAATGATCCTAAGGTAGCTGCTCCAGTTAAAACACTAGATTGAAGTTGCTGTGTTGGTAACTTCTGCTGCTGTTGCTGTTGTTGTTGACGTTGTTGTTGTTGTAATTGTTGCTGCTGTTGCTCCAGATACCTTTGTTGATCCTGTTCGTATTGTTTTTGCTGCTCTTCACGTAAGTTTTGTTCTTGTTTTTGTCGAAATTTTTCCTCTAGTTCCTGTTTTTGTTCGTACTGTTTTATTTCATACTGTTGTTGGTCATACTGTTCTTGCTCATACTGGTGTTTTTCATACTGTTGATGATCATAGGCTTGTATCTCATACAGTGTTTGTTCATATTTTTTGTCTTGGTACTCATTTTGATGATAATTTTCTTTTTCCAGCTGTTTTTCTTGTTGGTGGTATTGTATATGGAAATTCTGATTTTGTGACAAATCATCTTGATAAGGTTGTTCATACTGTGGTTGGTATTGAAAGTCATTCTTTGGTTCTAAGTATTCATTATGTTCTTCTTTGTAAGACTGATCCTGTTCCTCATATTTATGTTGCTGTTGGTCCTCGTATTGAAAACTAAATTGTTGATAACTTTGATTTAAGTAGCTATCATCTGTTTTCGAAACTGGAGGTTGTGGCAGATAATTAACCGCTGCTGTCGTATTTGGTATAAAGGCATCTTCTTCACTGGTTATTGGATACGATAGTTGCGTTGTCGTTTCTGTTTCCCAGGTTGGCTTTTGAGCTGAAAAAAATAACACTTTTTGAAACAATTTATCACACATTTGCCACATTATCTTTCCATGAAATCCTATAAATACTGATCGCATAATTATTGCTCACTCAACTTTATGCATAACGGATGCTTTTATCTCGAATATTAAATAAGTAAGTACCAAACATTTTATTTCATTAGATCACTACCCATTTATTATCGTACTTTATTACTCGTACTTTGAACGTTACTGTGGTTGAAAATATTTTTTACTGAAAAGTATTTTTTTTAAATATGATTATTCTTAATATTTACCAGTCGCTGCGGGAGGCGTTGCATGCGGTGTTTCATCAAAAAAGGGTTGCATACCATCTTCATCATAACTGTAACAAAAATGTAATGTTATAATCAGAATTCATGGTAAATGTTGTAATTGTATGCTTTAATTAATTCTATGTTTAGAATAACACCCTTTTAAATGTCTTGATGCGTAACAAAATATTTATAAAAAGTGTTAAAGAATACCGGTTGTTTTATTTTAAGTGGCAGAGTTAACCTGAAGCTGTATGATGGCAGTAGCACGAATATTTTGAATAGTAGAAAGGAACGCGTTTGTCAGAAATACCAACATAAATGGCGGCATAATGATTCTGCATTTCGAATGATGAGAGACGAAAATCGAAATACCCTTTTACTGGTGACGAGGTATACTAAAACCGTGTTTATTAGCATATGTGTACGTAAGTGCAGGCTCTTACAATACGTGGAGCATGGTTTTGGCTCGCTTTGACGCAAGTAATGCAACGTAAAATGTATGCAAAGCTACTCCCTCTTTCTTGTTTTCTCGGTCTGAGTATTCGGTCACATCTTACTGTATATTTCCCATTTTGATGACTAGTAGGAAGCTTAAACTAAATATTTTTTTGTTTCAAACTACAAAGTTGACACACACACGCACGCAAGCTTGACTTGTTTTGATCTCTCAAGTGTAATTGAAAACTTCATCTTAAGCCTCAGAGTAACTGCGTTTTGATTTTTATTCAAGAATATGTGTAATAGTTTGTCATAATTAATCCCAAAAATAAATATGTTGTTATGCATCTGACGATTTTTTTTTCGCATTTTCCATAGCAGCGTTCCGTACCCTCACAAAAATGGCAAGATATACACAGTTAATGAGACGTATTTGGACCTATTAGGACACATCCTATCTATAAACATTGACGTTTTTACCAGAAGCAAAAATTAGTAACAGTCCAGATCAAAAACTAGAACAAAAACTTTTCATTATACTTTACTATATTTAATGATTTCTTATATTTACGCGAACACTACACATTGAAATATTACTAGTTTTTACGGAATTTATCGCGTATATTTAACTTTTTAATTACCCGACGTTTCGAGAGCTTTACAGCACCCATGGTCACGGGAAGGACTCCTTCCCGTGACCATGGGTGCTGTAAAGCTCTCGAAACGTCGGTATTTTTTATAGAATAAGCGTGACAAAAGAGCACACAGTCCACCTGATGGTAAGTGGATGCTGTGGCCCATAGACATCTACATCTATCCTCGATTACAATCAAAACGCAGATACGTTGTCACCCCTAAGGACTAAGACGGAATGCCTCGTTTCCAGTAAAAAAGGGTCTCCGGATCTCTACACTCATCATACGAAACACAGCAGTATTAAGCTGCTATTTTACGCAGGTATTCTGTGAGAGCGTGGTCCTTCCCCGGTCGAGCCGACCCATTCGCGCTACAACCATAATATAAATGCAGCGTGGCTCGACCAAGTATAAAAATATATATACAAATCGAAATATATGAGGACATTCGTATGCCTAGGTCTTGAACCTACGGAATTATAGTAAGTGTAGTGCAACAGGTAAGACCTAGGCATACTTTACTAATCCAACTTAGCATAAAGCATAAACCACGGACTTCCATTTGACACGATCCTGACATACCTCTTTCGCCTCCTTTACATCCATATATCTACGCATACATGCTCGTCGGTTAAGGGTACTTTTAACGTGGCCCATTTTCAAAATATTGCCAATTTGGTCGATAAACTTTTTTCTAGGGCGTCCCTTCCCGACTCTGCCGTTCACATCTGCCATATAAATTTGCTTTGTCACTCTTTCCTCATTCATTCTTTCTACATGACCAAACCTCTAATACTAATACTAATGCACCTCTTGATTATAAAACACATTTCGAAGTAAAAATCTAATATTTTATAATTGTAGCGGGGAAAAAAGTGTAAAAAAAACTACGCCAACTAAAACAGTTTTTGACAAGTGATCTGTTTGCTCATTTTATATAGATTTTATGTCATAGCTACAATCGACCATATTATTTCTCTTGCTAATAAAACCAAAGCTTTCTTGTCTAGTTTGTATGACTGAAACACAATGAGTTATGAAAAGTTTTATATAGCAATTATGCTTTATGGAGATTTTAGGAAAAGAGGACTTTAAAATCACAAAAATCTCCGGAATCGTGATAAAACATTGAAAGAGTAACGTTGTGTTTTATTATTAACGGCGAATTATACGGAGTAATAATTATTCTCAGATGAACTGCTAGTAGATCCCTTTATAGTGCCAAGTGTATTCGCAAGCACAGGTAAACTCTCTATTCCCTCACTCTCATAATCCGATGGGACGGTAAACCGACACGACCGCAGAGAGACCAGGCGAAGAACCAACGGCTTTATGTGCTTTCCGAGGCACGGGGGTGAGACACCGTCAACTCCTGACTCCGGGTAACTGCTGAGAATTTCTTGTCGAAAAAACTCAATAATTAATTTTTTGGCCCGACCTGAGATTTGAACCCAGGACCTCATGATCAACAGACGCACTACTACAACCACTAGACCAACGAGGCAGTCAAAACGGAATAATCATAAATGAAATATATATGCTTTTATTACGAATTCGCAAAAACAAGTTTTAATTTTATTATTTAACATAAACCTAAACGTAGTAATATATGAATTGGATTTCTATAACAGCTTTATTTTGTTTTATTTGGATCAACAAACACCTTATACTATATAATAAGTATGTACACGACATTCAATTAAATCTATAATTTATGCGTTCAACACAATTTAGCAATGAACGCGGTTGACCTACCAATAAACATTTATCTAACTTAGCGTACAAATGTCCTAACTGATGAGATTATATCACCTCATAATGAAGTGACGTTTTGTGCTTACTCTAAGCTATTTCTAAAATTGGTTGTAGAATAAATCATTTATGATTGTAACTTGTATGTAACCTATTGTAAATTTTAATAAAAAGCTGAAATGACCCATTGTCTTTTCTATAACAGAGGTTTATTTTTCGAACCAGAGCTAAAATATAATGTATGATTTCAAATTAATATCGTATATTTTTATTTTTACAAATACGATTCAGAGGGAATGTGACTCACTTGCTGGTAAATAATCATCGCCGTCTATGAACATAATATGCTAAATCAGAGAAATTAATTGCAGGAGCAATATTATTATTTTGCAATATACCTGGTGATATTTTACCGTCTGGGGAAAAATAGGATGTAACAGATGAACGGAGTAAAAGCCCATGGTACTGATATTTTACATTTTTTTTAAATTTTACATTTTACTGATGTATATAAATACTACTAATGTTAAATAACTTTTATAACAAATGTTGAACTAATAATAATATTCGTATTTTATTTGTAGCTTAATTAATATATATATATTATGTATATATATATATATATATATATATATATATATTAGTATATTATACAGATTAGTATATTGAAATAATTAATATAATCAATGCGAAACCAAGGCTCCAAGGACTTTTCCAGAAATCTGACTGCTAGAAAGAGCCAACTGTCAAAGCTGAAGACTAAATGTGGTAGCATCGTTTCCGGGATACCTGAGTTTTTGAGCGAGATTGAGAGGTGAGAGAGTGAGAGGATGGGCAACTGTACACATTACCGTTAGAACCACACGTTAGTGTGAGTAACGATCCAGAAGAAAGTCTTATCTGACTCTATTCCCACGATATCACAGATATCAGTATGAGCGAGATTAGAATGGCTCTTCAGCACCTCAAAAACGGCAAGGCCCCGGGCAAAGATGGAATTAAAGCGGAGCTTTTTTATGCGGGAAAACGAGTGCTTGAAGGCGTTCAGAAGCTCTTTAATTCCGTCCCCCATGGTGGCACTATTCCGGAAACGTGGATTAGAAGTGCGATGGTCTTGTTCTTCAAGGAAGGCGACAACGCTCTCTCAAAAAAGAACAGACCGACTTCGCTTCTGAGCCGCGTTTACGTGATATTTTCAAGAGGTGTTACGAATCGTCTCGCGCATAGACTGAACAACCTCCAGCTCCCCGAACAAGAACGGAGATAAACAGCGCCAAATTCCTGATTTCAGTTTACTACTGAGAATTTTGTTGTCAGAAACTGGGCACAGACCAACGGGGCAGTCGAAAGCTCAAAAATATAACGAAGGACAACTTAAAAGGTCAGTATAATAACCATTGCATCTTAGTTGTCAAATCTGGCAACGCATGTAGCTGTTTTTGTTTTAAGTAAGTCCGCTTTTCATTACAGTTTAAAATAAAATCTATCTAATGAAGTTCAACTTTAATACACGCAAGCTGCAGAGCATATTTTTAATATAAAACGATTTGGTATTAAACCAAATTTACACACCCTTATTGTTCTGCGTCGAATGTTTACTAGCACAGCTTTTTTTATTAGCAAGAATTTTTGGTTTTTGACATATTAAGGTAAAAGTGTAAAAAGACGACTTTGGGAACTGAAGAGAATTTTTATCATATTTTTTGTTGTATTTATATTAGATCTATATCTATGAAATGTCCGTTTTTAATAAAATATGTTAACGTAATTTTTTTGCTATATTTTTATTTCTATTAATCAAAGTAAACATCCATTAATGCCCTTCTAGAAGGAATCAGCTGGACGGGAGACAACAAATTCTTCGAAAACAATTTTTTTCCCGCCAAAAATTAACCAAATTCTGGGAAAAGTAGAAGTCGGTAGACGCAAGGTCTGATGAGTACGGCGGATGACGGAGAGCTTCCAACCCCAGCTCTTGTAATATGGAGACTGTTTATGGTGTAGGTGTCGTGCAAGAGCAGCGCGGACGAGCGATTAACCAAAGTTGGTTGGAAACGTACGAGCTTCTCCATCATTGTATTCAGTTCTTCATATTACACATCTGGAGTAATGCTCATCCCGTTTGCTAAGAAGCTGTGGTGATCACACTGGCGCTAGAAAACCAAACAGTGACCATCACTTTTCTAGAGGTAAGTTTTCGTCTAACAAAATACATTTTTCGTCGGAGGTAACGATGCGGCTTT